CAGCATTGACTGTATTATGTTTGGGTGCTCTATGGTACATACTAACTCAGAATGGCAGTACTTGGGTATTTCCAACACTCGCGTTAACGATTATAGATAGCATTAAAACTTTATCATTGAAAGATATTAAATTTTTTCTTAACATGCTGACAAGTCTTAAGGATATTATCCTTATAAATTTACTTATTATTGTAATAGTTTATTTCATGAAAAAAAACAAAATGTGGCCCGAGGGTAGTATCCAAGTATCAGAAAGGGTATCATTGATAATCACTAATTGGTTATTTGGTGTCTCTACGTTCTGTATTTTCTATTGTGGCTGGTTATTATTGAGTCCATCAGAGGAGGCGTTACATCATGGTAAAAGGTACCTGCTGGGTGCAGGTCTTGTTATTTTCTTTGTATTAACTGGATTAGATTTTGGGTCTAATTCCGTTCTCCATATAAAATCACATCCATGGTTATCAGCTATTCTTGAGATATTGTCATTTTTTGCCGCTTTGATTTTTGCTAAGTATTCTATCCAGGAATTCAAAGAAGGATTCGTATGCGTTATATCTAAGGATTAATCCAATGGGTTGCATTTTGTCTCCTGCATCTTTGTTGCAAAAGCAATGATGCAGAGTGTATTTATTTATAACTATCAGCTTCTTTTATCAAAAATTGCAGTAATAACTACCAAAGCAGAATCAATGAGAATTTGTTTGCAGCTTTATTAAGAGATCTCTATGGGATTGGAGGTCGTGTGAATATCAGCTATATACTCGACTTCGCTTACCAATCTTATTTTTTATTTAAGTACCTTCATTAAGAAAACTGTAACCACCTAATCTCTACTAATATAGTTACAAGTTAAAGAAAACCCATTATCACTACTGATATGTTAGTGTGATTAGTTTTCTACTACTAGTGGTACAGAAAGCAATAGTAGTTACACCAAGCAGTAGCAGTTATAGCAAACCAGCAATAGTTACAGTAGTAGTTAAACAAACCAGTGGTACGCTGTTTGATCTGTGCTTCAGTGTTGTCACGTAAGTCAGTTTCAGAAATGGAGAGCTAATAATAATAAGGGGAGTTATACAACCTTATTCATTGTAAACCATGTGAGTCAAAAACTAAAACAATAAGGAGACGTGAACCTTAAACGAGACATCAGTCGGCACCCATGAAACAATAAATGACACGCAAACAACACAGCACACTCGACTAGCTCGTTCATTCATTGGCTCAGTTAAATCAGCGTATTCAATTGACTTGATCAAACTTTGTTTTATCTACCTTAGCTCCGCTTTGTTCGTAATAAACTGATGTTCTAGTGATTAGCACAGCAATGCTCAACATACCGTCCACTTATGTATTAATAAATGATTTCCGCGATACCGGTTGTTTTTTACTATGGAGCCAACCAATTATTATAGTCCATTCCACCATTGGCCAATCACAGAACATTGTAACCATGTGCCCTCACTTAACTCACCTCAAGTCAACAACAACAATACTCATTTCATGACATGTCATTCAAATGTACTCCTTCCAACATTCAGTATGGTCCTTTCCGGTTGACCCCTAGACCCGATCCCCACCGTAACAGCCGAAAATGTGGGGCACACATGACCGGTTTTGTGTCGCTCTCCGAGTCCCGGTCGATAAGATAAGATAAGGCTCAGCAATACTAAACAAATTACATACAAATAGCAAGTTAATTAGAACGATTGAATAAGATAAATACCTGATCTACTTAAGGAGTAATATAATAATAATAAGTATAAGAATAATAAGAATAATAATAGTGGTAGTAATGATAATCAAGTTGGGCTTATAATTTAGCTCTTGATCTTTTTGGGATTCTTCTTATGCTTTTTCTTTTTATTCTCAACAAATGCATGTTGTTTCTTCTTTTCCATCAGACTCTTCTTGTAATGGTAACCGCTTTTAGTCAAATCGTATTCACTAGTAAGCGGTACTCCAACAGTGGTGCCAGCACCATATTGTTCCTCCTTATCTTCGGACACAGGAATGGCAGCGGCAGCAGCTGCCGCTGCTCCATTTTTAGATAAGGGCTTTGATTTGGAAGGTGGAGCTAAGGAGGCAACTTCAGCATAAGTCAAAGGCTGACAATCAATGGCCACCAAGTCTGAATCTTCTTCAGCCATAGTAACGTTAACCAACTTATTGTTGATGGCGCAAGATACAAATGACGTATCACTGGTAGACCGCATAGTACCACCGGTGGCTTGTTGTACTGAAGCGGCATCTCTTTGTTTAGGCTTGAACCATGACAGAATGAAGGTTGTGGCAAGCATATTTGTTTGTATGAGTGGACGGCGTAGGAGGAAGGAATAGATAAGAGTAATCAATTGATCCAATGAGAGAGCAGTATTGGAGGTTCCAAAATGCCTCTAGTAACAATAATCTAGTTGTGTATATCACAGCAGTATACAGTTAGGAGAACTGGTAGATGAGAGAAATTAGTAAGGGGTGGGAGAAGGAAACTGGTGTTTTGATACCTTTTATATATGTTTTGTTTTTGTGACGTAGATTAAAAACCGTGGGTTGTTTGGTAGCGCGGGGTAATATGATTGAATTGGGGAGGCAAAGAGGTGAGTCACGAGAATAATAATAGAATCATGGTTCTACCACAGTACAGGACTATTACAGTATAGTAATAACATAACATAACACATGGTAGTAAGGCATTGTATGTCATAGTATTATGTTATTACTACAACTCTAATATGGTGCCAGTAGTATACTCCATGTGCCCTATTAATGTTTAATAGTTATGTCATTGCTTTCACTATAATAGTTATCCCCCCCCATAGGCTTCTAGAACCCACACATTACTTCCATAAAAGGACCCACTGATAATATGCAAACTGGATCACAGCTTTCATAGAGTCACATCAAAATTTATGGCTATGTATACATTACCTACTACCTACTTCCTTTACTCCTGCTGCTGCTGTCATACGTTAACCAAAATGGTTCACGTCACATTCTATGATGTCATTATTCATTCGGGTTGTGTTGTGTTTGTTGTGTTAATTTCCGCCGTAAAAAGGATAAAAACTTGCCCCGATTTCATCCCCACGACCCGCCTCAATTAAAGGCTGAGATCATAATATCGTTAGGGGGTAATCATGATTAATTCCAGTCGCCCAATAAACACCATCATGTGATGTTGGTCACGTGATAACGTGATGATCCTCGGGATATGTTGAACCCAAAATTTTACATCTTCGTTATATGCAGGGTGTCCAACATACCAAACTAAAAGTTAACCATAAAGTCAATGAAATAGATTGGGAAGGGTCCATTCAAATATAGTTATAAAACTTTAGAGTATCTCCCTTAATGGCTGGCTTTCTTCAGGTACTTAAGTTCTACGCCAAATCCGTACTCTTTGGTACCATTCTTGCAGGATGCGGACTCTTTGGAGTTATATCATCAATTTTGCTTAAACTTATTGGGAAAGAAGAATATGCTCAATATGTTGTTGCTAGAGCCTTCTATTATACATTCTCTAAGATAATGCAAATCAAAGTAGTGGTTAAGAATGGTCATCGTTTAGATGAAAGGCCTGCTATTTTCATTTCCAATCATCAATCAGCTTTAGATATCTTAATACTTGGTCGTGTGTTTGGTGTTGGAACTACAGTTACTGCCAAATCTGTATTAAAATATGTTCCCTTCTTAGGTTGGTTTATGTTGGCTTCAGGAACTTTCTTCCTTGATAGAGCAAGAGGCGATAAGGCTAAGGCTGTGCTTGATAAAGCCTTACAAAATATGAAATCTCGTAATAGAGCTATTTATATTTTTGCTGAAGGTACAAGATCAGGTTCTGAAAAGTTGGAACTATTACCCTTTAAAAAAGGTGCTTTCCATTTGGCCCAACAAGGTAAGATCCCCGTTGTTCCATTAGTTGTTTCAAATACTTCAAATATCTTCAATGCTAAGAATAAAGTGTTCAACACAGGTGAAATCGTCATTGATGTTTTAGCTCCTCAACCCTCAACACAATTGGAATCAAAAGAAGACGTTGATAAGTATTGTACTTCGATTAGACTGAAAATGCAATCGACCTATGAAAAATTGGGTTATTCAACTTCACCCATATGGACGGCAAACAAGAAGAGATTAACTTCTCCTTCTAAGACTCCATTGGTTGATGGAAATGATTCTGGGTTTGTTGATATTGATGTGTCTTCGGTTAAAAGTGATGTTGAAAGTATTGAAATCATCGATGAAACAACCCCATTGGCACACTCAAACGATTAGATGAATAGATAGTACGCTTTTATTCAATAATAGAAGCCTTCTTCTTCTTCGCCTTCTTTTGTTTATCACCATCACTCTTTGTAGTCTTTGTCTTTGACTTTTTAACTTTGGTCTTTTCGGCCTTTTCTAATGCTTGCTTCTCCAATCTCTGTCTTATTTCTTCTAAATTAACTTCGTATTCAACACCACTTTTTTCTTCATTCGACTCCGGTGCATTTAGATCAAAATTCTCTAAAGTGGAAGAGTCAATAAGGAAAATGTTTTTCTTCTTCTTCTTCTTTTCCATAGGTGATAACCTTTCATTAATTCTATCTTCATCTCCTCCACCATTGTCTACTGTTTCTTCTGTAAGCACAAGGACCTTTTCCTTCTTTATTTTCTTTGACTTCTTGGGCTTCTTGTTTGTCAAATCGAGTGTTTGTTCATCAAGTCCTGGAGATGTTGATGTCTTGGGAGATGTAACTAATGCACTAGTAGCAGCTTCCACCAGTTTACTCTTACTCTTATTGACCCTGCTCTTAGATGCAGTGGTATCAATATAGTAAGGATCTTCTTTTAATCTCTGCATCCTTTCCTTTCTCATGATCTCACTGTTCTCAGTGGCAGCAGCTGTCTCTTCTTCAGATAAACTATCTGAGTCTTCTCTATTGCTATCAAATAAATTGTACGCACTGGAAACTTCATCAAGTGCTAAATCAACCACTGGTAAGTCGTTAATTGGTACATCAAGGTCTAAAGCTTCAGGAACCTTAATATGAAGTTGGGCATTTCTTGCAACGGGTTTTAATGTATACAGATTGAAGAAAGAAGGTAATACCAAACCTAATAATACAGGAAGTGGTTTCTCCATATTTGAGTCTTCAACAATATCATTAATCTGACTTGAAAATGGGTTCTTTTCAAGTTCTTTCTCTTCTTCTTCCAACTCCAATAAGTCTTCTACTGGGATCTGAGGCTTAATAGTCTCTTCGATGGAGTCTTCGTCAGAAGAACTTGAAAATTGTTCATAGTCAGGATCAACAGAAGAATCGACTTCTTGTTCATCATCTTCTTCTTGTTCTTCATCATCTTCTTCTTCTTCTCCTTCTTCTTCGTCTTCGCCTTCATTTGCTTTCTTTTTGTCGCCTATCCTCAACGTCTTGTAATACTCAATTTCCTCCTGTTCAAGTTTCTGTAAAATAGAATCATCACCTTCATTCATGGCTTCCAAACAGAGACGAAGAAATTCCAACCAGGATATAACCCGTTCTTGAACCTCATAATTTCGATGGTTTTCCCAATTGCCTAGGAAGCCAATCAACTTGAACAAAAAGTATTGCAACTCATTAAGCTGGGTGGTTGGAAGTTTGTTACCTTTACCATATATCAACATGTAGTCTCTCACAATTGACAGATATATCTTGACAAGAGATTGGATCACTACGCAAATGACTCCATGGTTGGGCAAGGCTGCCAACTTCGCTGAAATAGGGAACTGGGCATTAACTCCATTATCCAACTTAGTATCAATTTCTTTGTTGATTAACGTATTGAACAACTTGATCTTCTTTCCCAAGGCAATAATATTAATATTATTTTCTTCTTCTTCATCTTGATCATCCTGTTCATCGTCATCGTCATCGACACCTCCAAGTTCGTTGACATACTCTCCCAAGATCCAATAGACATCTTTCAACAACAAAGGTGCACCATCAATGACATTGGGATCTTCAGCTAATTCCAACAAAAGTGTTGCTAAAGGACGCCGAATGGAAGGCACCTTTGTAGCAAGAGAAGTGAATTCCTTCCCAAAAGCTTTAGCAATAGTAATGGCAGCAGATCTTGAAGCATAATTGCCCGATAAAACCGTCAATTTCAATGCATTCTGTAATACTGCAATATACCACTTAAAATTTGGGATATTGGAATAATTATCTTGTGAAGCCGTATCGATGATCTTAGTGATGATGTCTACTTTCAACTTATCTGGTACAATTAGTCTATCATCCAGGGGGATCAATTGTATCAAAAGGACTTTGAACACTTCATTAATGTTATCTTCATTAATGAGATATTGGGCTATTTCCAAAGCTTTGCTCTGGATAATTGAGTCTCTATCTGTCAAGCAATCCAAGACTATTGGAGAAACTTCAGGAATGGATCTAATGAATTGGGGATACAACTTCAAGATATTAATCAATGCCAAAAGACCAACAAATTTCAAATTATTATCACCATTTTGGAAAAAGTTTATAATCTTTTCTATACATTTCCTGGCAATATCTTTATCCTTTGATGATTCACCTGTAAGCATGCCCCCACTAACAATGCAATTAATGCATTCATAGATCAAAGATGAAGCCTTGGTAGACATCATCATATCAACAATTGCAGGTAAGATTTTTCTTCTCATTCTTGTTTCTACTTTAGAAAGACTTTGGAATAATTTAAGGATTCTAATGATTAACCAATTATTCTTTGTATCTTCAAGAATCAGAAAGAATTTGGGCAAATACGCCACGAAGATCTTGGGGTTCTTTTTGGAGATTTCACATACAACATTAATAGCAGCATTTACTACTGAAGTCTCATTATCATCCAATTTATCAATGATCCGTTGGAGACTCATACGTAAACTATCAGGATATTGTAAAAACACTTTGTAGAGGGCCAAAATAGCCTTTTTACGGATATACGGTTTAGAATGATTTAATTTCATTACCACATCATCATAAATATCCTTAGCCAAATTGGGGGTAACTATAGTGGCAATACCTGATAATGCCAACCCAACTTCCACATGATTATGAGAGTTCAAATCCTTTTTAAATTGATTGGTGGCCAAAATCAACAAATCCTGTTCATTTCTAAACAGTTGAATGGCTCCAAGATAACCTATACGTTTCTGTTGGAATTTAGATGACAGCATAACTTCCAAGACTTGGAAATTACACCAACTCATATCAAACCCATACATTTCCAAATACGCCAATTTCAATACCGCCATGGCCTTGGTTTCCAAATCAGTGGTGGCCAACTCATTCTTGCATTCAACTATGGCATTCTCTAAGAATACCATCAATTGTTCGGGTGACTCTTTGGAGTATGTTCTCATACCACGGATCAAGTCCGTGAGTGACTTCTCAAACAGAATGCCAAAGGGCTTCAATCGCGATAGAACCTCGGCATTCAGAAGCTGAAACGACGACATTGGGTCTTCGGACGTAAGGCAATCGAATCAACAGAGAAAACAGGTGGCATATAAGTTGATACTGTGCTAAGTTGATTCTCAAGGTTGACATAAATTCAATTGTGGTGTGCATATAAGCCTTGACTTCAAAGTCCAACCATAAGTAAGGTAAGACAGTACTTACGGTCCAAATAGAATACTAACAACAGTAGTAACTGAGTATAATGCTCTAAGTGATGACATTGGATACAATTGGCTTTTAAACGGTCATTTTATCTGTCGTAAAGCAGTAATACCTAATTTAAGTCTAGGATTCAACAGTAAATACATTTGTGAATCAAAACAACTCTTTGTAGTTTTGTTGGATGTATATTTCCATTCCTCAAGGTACTTATATTGTCCTCTCCATGTACATTTATTGCTTCGTATTAGTGACTTTTATAGTCATAAACCAGTCACCAATGTGTAAGCGTATATGGTCGTGTGTTGCCGAAATTTCAACTAATTAAGTGAGTCTTGGTTCTTGGGCACTGCACTTGTTACACTCCTCTTCAACTTAGTTCGTAATGTCGAAGACAACAAATGCCGTAGACGGTGCTGGCACTGTCGACCACGACACACAAGAAGACCATGGGGACACTAGTGGTGATGTCAATGTTGATGATGCCAATAGTGAAAACGGTGATGATTCGGATTATGACTACAGTACACTGAGTGACAATGATGTGGGGTTACTACAACATGCGTCACATCATTACCAAGGTCGGTACTTGGCTGAAACACTAACAGCAACGTTAGAATCTGTGGAATTAGACAAGTCGCTCGCACTTGAAGCTCAGATCAGTGGTCAATTGAACTCCAAGAATCAAGAATTAGTATCTAAAAAGCTTCAGCTTATTGAACGACTAGAAACTTTACAACAACAGTATAAAAAATACTTCAAGCCAACTAATGATAATTCCCTTAGTGTTGTTAATCAAATTAGAAACGACTTGAAGTTATTGGAACAACGAGTTCACGAATTGAAACATGGCAAGTCATCTATGTTCAGACATAAGTTGGGAGTAGTGGAGAAGTTTCCTGTAGAATATAATCAGGCAAAGGAAAAGATTTTGGAAAGAGTAATAGATTAAACTTTGGCATATATAACACCAAGTCCATCCATCCATGATCCAACATATCCATACATTCCAACAATAGTATATTCCTCAGTTGGAGTCTCCAACACACTTCCATGACCTCCTTCTTCCTTACCATACCAAGGGGATACTCTTCCCTTGTCGGTGACAATTTGAATACCATCGATCCATTTCCCACTGCGTAAATTGAAGTGATGAACTTTTTCACCAGCACCTAATTCGAAATCACTGTATGATCCTGTCTCCTTCCCAATAAAAACTTCTGTGGGTCCACAACTACCTCCACCACCACCGTGAACCATGGTACTTGAACTAGGACTAGGTACTCCGATTTTGTCTAAGATTTTTTGACGGAACCTGCCATGAGAATGTGGTGATGATGGCATTGCACCACCACCACCTTGAGTAGGTTGGATGGTACTATTGAGGTAGAATTTGATCCCATCTAAAGCCATTCCATGGTATACTCTGACCTTGAATACCCTACGAAGATCAAATTCAATCTCCAGCATGGAGTTACCTTCACTACCAGAACATCCACTCTTGTATCCTGTGATTGGACCTCTACCCAATCCAAAATCACTAATAATAGTAGATTTACGGATATCTTCGTTGAATGATTTGAAATTCTTGGTGAAAACATCCCCATTAAATGAAAGAACTCTCACATCGAAGTTTTCGTGGCATTTATTTCCTCTTTCTTTAAGATCCTTGTAGCAAGTATTGTAATCCAATTTGACAATTGTTGGAAACCCTTTTCCACCGTAAGATTGAGGAAAGAATTGAGTAGAATATCTAGCCAAATCTTCAACTATAAGTTCAATCATATATATATTTTCGTTCCCCTTAATAAACACCCCCTCAGGACTCCTATAAATGGATGGTGCTGGTGCTTCATTTTGTGGACTTCTCATATAAGTTTCACTAATCTTTGGGAAATTATCAATAGGTAAACCAAATGCATCATGATAGAAGAATCTTACCAAGTCTAATCTATTCCAGTGACATTCTTTTTCCCAAGAATTTGTAGGGCTAACAACACAACCACCAGTATGCTCTCTTAAACACTTTGACTCTCTGGTCATGAAATTTCTATTGATCCACACATAATCTCGTAACATAACCCCATCAATTTGATGTGGACAACCCAACAGATGACCTATTTCATGTAAAAAGGCACCAAAGGAAATGTTAAAACATTCCCAACTTGTTCCACATTGGTTAGAATCATTTGCAACTTCATTCGTAGATAATTCGGTATCGTCTAACAAAGCAGGTGTAACAGTAGGCCAATCAATGGGAAATGAATGAATGCCTTGGGATCCAAAAATTGCCATTTTGACATTGCCTCGACCACCCCCTAAAGCAGCATGATCAACAATCACTTGATGTTTTTTATCCCAATGACCACCCATGAACATACACGCAGCTTGAATTCGAATGTTGTTTTGTTTATAAAAGTCATAGAAATCACTTTTTTCAACCAAGTCAATGGCATGTGAAAACAAATAACCATTCTCTTTAGCTTCCTTATATTGTTGAGCATAATTAAGATCACGAAGTTCTGCTCTTGTACGTGGAGATCTTAAAACATGGATTTTAACTTCTTTGTGAGGAACCTTACATTGACCCGAATAACCGAAGTTCCTCATGTCGTTGGTCAGCTCTTCGATAAATCTAAAGCATCGGTTACTGAACCCAGTCATTCTCATTTCTTCCTGAGTGTATGCTTGCATCATTCGTCCAGCAACTTTTAATCTTTGTATAGCTGTATCTAAATTGGGAACTTCTCCTCTTGCACTCTTATAAAGAGGCATATCGTAAGATCCATCGGAATCACAACCAACCACAACACATAAATGAATTGGTTTATTATTAACAAGCTCGTTATAAGTAATGTCTATTCTAGTGGAATCTACCACTTGGAACTGTCCACACACTTTACCTCTTTTGTCGATGCTTGAATTTGCCAATGCTTGAACAGTCAAATGGTTCAGTCCAGGGGATACGTGAGCTATGGCTCTAAAACAACCGTTATTGATTTCATAATATTGTGGAGGGAAAACTTCATTATTGTTATTGGCCACAACAACTACACCATTGTTGATTACTGTGGTGTGGCCTTTCAACAATACAGCAGGAGAAGACACAATTTCTCCACTCAGATAGTTCAATTGGATCATTATCGATCTAAGTAATTAGCAAGTCAATTAACAGGATTAGTGTTCAATCCTTCTAAATTCCGGACATGTGAACCTCCTCTATATATTCTGAATTAACTTGATTCTTCAATTGTGTAATACTTTTAAGCGTACATTCCGACTTTAAAAGAAACCGTACTTACCTAATTGGTGTCCTTAAATGACGGATACTTGTTTGTTTGTGTGGATTGATGTTCTTTGCTAAGTAATATGCATACTTACTCCTTAAACCTGCGCCTCTATGGTGTCCAAATTCAGAAGATCCATAAAAGGTACACCCTAACACCAGAATCACAGCTAGCTGCATCCAAATGTATTAGAAAGTGGCATCCTAGGGAGATACCTTATAGTGATACATCAGAAAGTGATACATCAGAGAGAAGTACTAGAACTTAGCTATGTTAATATTATTCAACAGACTTAGTTTGTTGGGTGAACATGGTACCGTATACTAATGCCTAGTATTCGTAGAAATCAGTAATTTAGCAACTAAAACACAGGTCACGTAACCCTTCATGAACATTCAATAACATGATGAATCACTTGTAAGATAAGTACAACTATGTGCTATTTTCATGGTATATCACTAATAACAACGGATACATTCAGACCTGAGCTATTGTTTGATTACAAAAGACGTCATTTTCACTTGTCTTACAAGTAAAGGTGCAATGAACATACGATTCTTCTAAAGGAAAATGAGTATGTTCACATAAGGCCACCATTCAAGTATAGAGCATCTTAATGAAGAGCCTTTATTACAACTACTTAAGTAATCATTTCTTCTTATTGATAAGGAGGTATATACTCTAAATTCTAACAATAAGAAAAACCGATTCAAGTAGTAGATGCCGTGTCTTTACCAAAGTGTATTCACTGGTAGGGGAACTAAATCTGGGGTAATGAAGATGAGGTCAACTAAACCCTCCACCAAGTACTAACACGTCTGCAATGCCACCTAAGCGTTCGTTGGCACTGGTGGCTGCTCAGGCACATTGGGCCAAAAAGGCCAAGCCAGAAGCTTCCGTCGTATCTGATGAGACCATTGAACATGCAAAGGCACATCCTGAGGTGATAGTCATTGAGTCTGATAGTGAAGACGATGAACCAGTCAATGGAATATCAGAAGGCAAGAAATCAGCATCAGAAGAAAATTCGTATGGAGTATATTTGTTATACAATCCTAGTTATGATGATCCTCTTAAAGAACGTCAAGCTAACTTCGGAACGATTACCATTGAATCACTTGTAGGAGGGAAAGATCTAATACAACTGTACCAGTTTAATTTCTCCATTGAATATGATTTCTTTATGAGTTATTTCCATCCACAGTTTTCTAAAAACAAACGTCCAATTACATTCATCACCACTTGTGCCATGACAGAAGAAGAGTCCACAATCATGAAGACCCATTTTAACTTTGATATCATCGTACCCAAGAATATTCCCAGATTTGGATCTCATCATACAAAGCTCATGGTCAACTTCTTTGAAGATAACACTTGTCAGATTGTCATTATGACTTGTAACCTTGCAAGAATTGATTTTGGAGCTTTAACACAAATGATTTGGAAATCAGAAAGACTACCTTTGGGTGAAACGAGAGTTGATCAAGGCATACGATTCCAAAGAGACTTTGCAAATTATTTACGAAGATACAATCAACCCAAACTTAATGACCTCGTAAATGAACTTTCTAAATTCGACTTTCTGTCTATAAAGGTTGAATTGCTTGCTTCGGCTCCTGGAACATACGATATGAACAATTCAAAAGAGAACTACGGCTTGGGAAAACTCTATCACATATTAAAGCGAAACCGTTTATTACTTCCTGCTAGCACTTTGTCCCATCAAGAAGGTAAGGCAAAGTATCATATACTAGCAGAAATCTCGTCTATCGCATACCCCTTTATGACTATTAATAACCAACCATATAACATATTCACTCATCTCTTGTGTCCCCTCATGTTCGAAGACGAGTTGAGCAATGTTAACATTGCTGCTGGTTTGGTTGGGGCCAAGGAACATCAAAAGGCTCACAACTATAGCCCATATATCATGTTTCCGACTGTATCCGACATAGCCAATAATAACCTGGGATACGGAGCCGGTAGAGCAGTGCATTTCAACTATTCACTGAGTTGTATCAACAGATACCATTTTAGACTTTTGAAACCATATATGTGCAAATGGAATGATTCTACTGCAAAGCATCAATGTGGGGGAAGAGAGGAAGTAATACCCCATGTCAAATTATTTCTTTGTGATAATGGAGATGAGTGGAAATCATTGAGATGGTTATTACTAACCTCTCATAACTTATCCAAACAGGGATGGGGATCTCCAATCATACCTAAGAAATCAAACCTGCTCCTGCTGCTTAATCTTGGATTCGAGCAGTTTTCTATTTCTAGCTACGAGTTAGGAATTTTCGTTCCTCGGCCACAGAATTATCACATCCAAAGCAGATCTGGAACTTTAAACAACAAAATTAATAATAGAAACTCAATCGTAATTCCATTCAACTTGCCCCCAACATCTTACAGCATGTCGGATCTCCCTTGGAGTCCTCATGTAACTTCTAGTGTTCCAGATAAATTTGGCCAAGTTTATGCATTAACTTAAGTCTTTCTAGAACGTTTGATTGCATCATCACCGAATTCAGCTGTGCATAAATGTCTACCCCTGTTTCAAATCCAATTAGGAGTAAAGAATACTCTTTTAGAAGTACCATGCGTCAGTTCTGAAACCAAATGTTCGTTTGCTTTTTGTACTACTCCGGTTTCATGTCTTCATGCATGTGAAGTGTACTCCAATACCACAAAAACCAATTTAGGATTTAGTGTCGTTTATGTAACCTAAGAACTTGCATGGTGCGTTGACGAGGTGCTTTCAAACCTTTTGTTAGCCAATTTTTTATCCCTTATTTAATTTTCAATCAAAAATGGATTTTGGTCGTTTTGTGTTCTGAGTGGGTCCATACTCTTCTTCACTATGAAGATTCACTTCATGATCCATCGAGGATGGTGGTGGTATGTTCAAATTGCTCTCTGTTGAAGGTATTGATTCATAACCACCTCCCCAATCTGGAGTTGTTTGTCTTTCATGCGTTATCCGATCAACGTCAGATTCGTTCTCCATTTCGTTACTATGACTGAACAATCCTCCTCCGCCACCACCAACACACATACGATGGTCGCTTGTCTTTTGAATTTTATGAGTCCTCTTCAACCCATTAAAGGTTGCATTAGACTTTGGCTTGTTTGTTGTTAGATGCAGTACCTCATTCAGTGACCTTGAAGAAGCCAAGGTAAACGGTTGAAGATCGCATAGCAATGGGCTTAATGGTGCGCTAGTAGGCAAATAGCCAAGTTCCTTGGCTTCCAAATCTGACTCCTTATCGAATGTGGTTAAATAGACAAATTGAACCCAGATCGATTCTTTGTGCGTGGCTTGGAAAAGTATGGGCTCACCTGGATTGCGGAATAGAATCTTGAATAGGGAATCGTCATAATCAGCATCGAGAGTGTTCAAGGAGTTAATTAAATGACTAAAAGTCTTGAGTTCTTTCAACCGGAATAAGAAGTTGACCATGAGATTGTAATCCAAGAGATTGGTCTGAACAAGTTCAGTCAATGGGATATCAAGTGAAACTGACATGGGTTGTTTGAGATATTCTTTATCTCTCGTTATATGCTTGATATATGCTGTGATTTGAATCTTATCTGGTTTGACATTCAATCGGAAATCTTCTGCACCACTTGCTGTAGTATCAAGAAATGATTTCAATGTTTTCAGTTCCATAACAAGACAATGTATTATAAACATACCCTGTGAATTTTTACGTCGTTTTTCTAAATCTGAATTATACACCTTTCCAACATCTACATGAGTAGCAACCGTAGGGTTATAGCTTGTTTGGTACTTTTTCACTATTAGATTGCTTGTTTTGATTTCCACCAAAAGCTTGAACCGAGCCGCAGGCTGAGCCGTAGTAGACATGTTAGTCCTAAGACACACATACTCCCATGAATCTGGATTTCGAAATAATGTAAGGAGATGCTTTGATTTTAAAAGAACATGATACGCGTCTTCGTCATACCCTTCAATTGTTGATTCTTCCTCTAAATCCACTTCAAAAGTATGGAAGAAGCTCTTTGAGAACTTAATCCGTCCATAACCAGTTCTAGACGCGTTAACCGCCTCTAAAGTTAACCACTCGGAAGTTATGGACATCTTAACCATGTCCGATATTGATCCAAGGGACAGGATCATCTTACACCATAAAATTTTGTTTTTGTCGTTGTCTATGATTGCCACAAACAGCATATTTCAAAGAACGAGATAAGTGAGAGGAATACAATGGCAAGTAAAATGTTTACAGGTATTCAAACAGGTTTTAACTTTGATAACGGCATCTTTCTTAACCATCGATCAAATTCGTTGAAAACACCCGAACACCCGATTCACAAAAGTACACGACCAAAGTACTTTCGCTTGTACCTTTGCATAGAAAGGTTGTACTTAAAATACTGCTACTATTAATGATTAAGTCAATTCATTATCAAAATATGGTTGTTGCTTTGGAGATCTCTCCATGTGTCTACGTGTGTATGTGTGGAGATGAGCATCACATCAATATATCCTGTTAACGGAGCCTTGGATTTTTGTTCTCACCCGAAAAGTCGTGTTTCATTGGCTATATATTGATTCTTATCTGAGTTGTTAAAGCCCACAGATCAAGATCAAAGTTACTATATATTTGAACTGATAGACTGATTTTGATCTAACGCCTACTTTATTGTTGAACTGAACTAACCACGTCAAATGTTCAAATTCCTTATCATTAATCCCAACTCATCGAAGGGTGTTACAGATAACTTGGAGACTATCCTCCCCAAGGTCCCCGGGACTGAGTTGATATTCTATACGGCACCAGCAGGTGCTCCGAAGGAAATCACAGGAGTCGAGACTTCAATCGAATCAGAGAAATATGTTTTAGAAGATATTAAGGCAAAGAAGTTGGCCGATGAGGTTGATGGGTTTTTGGTTTGTTGCTATAGCGATCATCCATTAATATATTCACTTTCAAAGTTGACACCAGATAAGCCTGTGCTTGGGATTATGCAGGCAACACTTTTATACAGCTTACTGAATCCAACGTTCAAACTGTTCATCCTTACTAGTACTTCTGAATGGGAGCCATTACTTGATGATGGAATTCAGAATTTTTTGGGTACTTCAGAATTCCCTCACACTAAGTTCTTTCCAACATTAGGCTTGAATATAAGCGTTCTTGATTTGGCACTGCTGACAGATACAATTGTTCCCGTCGTAAAGGAGATTTTAAGTAGACTGGACTATGCTGGATGCAACTGTATCCTTTTGGGTTGTGCCGGCCTTAGCGGAGCTGATAAAGTGATTGAAAGAGAAACCGGAGTTAAATGTGTTGATTCCGTTAGAATAGGTGTAGAATTTCTTAATGCCTTGGCAAGAAACAATACTTATTGAATGAATAATATCGTATGTAAAAGTTCTATTATACTAAATCTTTATTGTTTTTACCTTTAGTTCAACCTATTTTCCCATTACTACCTTTTCATTGACGTTCGGGTGTCTTTCACTGTGCAGTACGTGAAAAATGTGGGGTGAAAGCAAACCATAGGGATAATTTGATGGCGTAAACACCGTATACAACCCCATACTAAGCATTCGAGTAGCTCTTTAAAGGGATATAGGGATCACTGAGACTTTATTGCACGTTATATTATGTCAATACTCCGTCGGATATTTCGTCAGGGAGAAGAGGAAAGCGACCAAAAACAAATTCTGACGTCTCGCAGTATCCGGTCAAATTCTAGTAGAGAAAGCTTACCTCCTTTGTCACGTTTGACTTTAGTAGGATATCGGAAATCTACCAGACATAGAATCACTGATACTGATTTGGCAGGGGAAATTCGTAATTTGCTCCCTCCCAGATTGCAATTGTACGATGAATGGTCTTTAGTATATTCTTTGGAACAACATGGAGTTTCATTGAACACGCTTTATCATAATTGTGATCCAAAATATGACCCCTTCAAGGGCACTAGGACAACAGAAAAAGGGTTTGCGGAGTCTATAGTTACACGAGCAGTTGGCTCACAGATATTACACGAGAAAAAACGACCTCAAGGATATGTCATGGTAGTTCAGGATGAACATCGTTCCATATTTGGATGCTTCTTAAGTGAACCACTAAAGCAAGTGGATCACAAGCGCTACTATGGTAATGGAGAGTGCTTTCTTTGGAAATGTGAGAATGTTGAGCACATGACACACTCATTGGAAAAGTCAATTGAAATAAGCGAAAAGGAAATGGCCAAGAATTCCACACATCCAAGACCAGAAGAAGATTCGAGAGACGTTGAACTGCCTACTAATATTACTACTGCTAGTGATATTACTACTATTGAAGATGATATCCATAAACATCCTCAGAACCAACACATACCTGTAGAAGATTGTGACCATTCATACTGTCGTAGGTTTAAAGCCTTCATGTACACAGGCATCAACGATAATATCATTTATTCCAATTCCGAATACATTGCGATCGGATCCTCCAATGGACAAAATGGACTTTGGATTGACAAGCTGCTTTACAATGGGGTGAGTTATCCTTGTGAAACTTTCGGAAACGAAATACTAAACGAATCGGGAACCAGTGAGAGAAAGTGGGGCAAATTTAAAATAATGGCATTAGAAATCTGGCGAATAGGTTAAAATGAAGAGAATGTATTGAATCTTCGTGAACCCAAAAATAGACCAAGAAGAAATTATGGAGTAAGTGTAACCGTATGAAAGCCAGAAACTTAAGCCTTCTAATATTGTTAGTTGTTTTAAAGTAATTGAGGGAAATTTAGGAGTTTCAGTTGATGACCGTGTCTTTGAATCACTTTTAAAAGTTTCACTAAAGTTGACTTCCACTGAACTTTTTGCCTACTGTAACAAACAAAGCGGAATATCAAAAATGAATTGCAAAATTACAACAATAACCTGAAATTTTGAACCTTGACCAAGAGTGGAAGAGATGATGAACATCAGATCGGTAACTTAGTGGTTTTAGGAGCATGATTAGATTTCTATGCACAAGCAAATTGTTGTCTTTTTTTTTCTTTTTTTTGAAGTACTTCGTCAATTGTTTGTCATAACTGAAAATGTATCGGTTGGACTATCAACCCCTTTTCCATCACGCTAATCCTATGGTTTGACATTCTAATGCTTTCCAAATCTGAATAGCAAGTTTACGGCTAATTATCTAAGCTACAAGCGTAGTCTTGTTCGTCAGAAGGAAGTAAGCGTTGGAAATTTAAGTTATGAAGCATGATTTACTAAACTTTGAAATGTATTGGGCTATTGCAAAACAGAACTCGGTAACAAAATGGTGACCGGATTTGGAAATGCAGGCCACAAATGGAAATGAAATTACAAGTATCATAAAATGATTGATCTGGTTTTGGCCAACTTGTCAGGCGGACTTTCCCTTTGAGTTTAGGCGACTCGTGGGAGTTGAAAAGTTGTCCCAAACCAAAAATTACTGAAAATATCTTAACCTTGAAATCACCAGATATTTACTATCGAAGTTAACATTAATCGTGCATTATTGTTATCTAAATGGACAACACACACTTATTCAAATGTACACTACTACAAACAAAAAGAAAAGGTCATTGTACTATAGTCTTCGGATTGATAAAACTGACCACCAAAGACATATGAAGACTAAACGTACACACCTAACGGCAAACAAAGCTTCCATAAGTATATCCCTAATCAGTGTTAAGATAGTTTGTATCATTTTGAAGGCAATCTTACGTCGAACTTTCGTCTAGGAAAATTGATTGTTCAAGCAAAGGGGCTTAATTTTTGGTTGTGCCCTTGCATGAAGTTGCATCCAAAATAAACTACCCCTTGCTTGAACGAAATGTTGTATTTATGCGAGAACAAATATGCAGGAGCAAATGCGGTTAATTAGGGGAAGACCTACATTAAGTGGGCAGAGGTATTTGTCGTCTATTGTGCAGATTGTGCAGCTTATTGTTTATTTAATTGTGCAGCACTTATGCACCCGATTTGATGGTTGATGTTGCAGTTGCAAAAGGTTACAGTCTCGCGTACTTCTGAAATCATTAGTGAAATAAACATTGGGAGTGAATCTGATGATTGTTGGACTCTTACGATGCATGGAAATTCAACAGATATAAAGACCTGATAGAATCTGGTTGTCAACATAAAAGAGAATTATTGTAATCCACATCTTTCCCTTTGATAGACTTGATACCCCTTAAGATTAGCTTCTCAACTGTTTTACTTATTGTAATGAAGTTGGAGACTGTCTTATCCGTAGCCGCAATTGCTGGTGCCTCACAAGCAGCAGCAGTTGGTAGTTCAGAGTTGAATGATGAATTGGTTCCGATTGAAAAGAGAACTTTTCTTCTTGCTTCATATTACATCAAAAAGTGGAAGAGTTATGGTGTTTGCCAAAGAGATTATAAAGATAAACTCTTGAGAGATGAATTGGCTTTTGACGTTACTGCCTGGTTACAAGTAACTGAATTGAATGGTAAGCCATGTCCAACGACCACTCTTCCTTGTACCAGATGTGTCACTACAGAGACAAAGAATGTTTGGTTTCCTACCACTTATGTTACATACTGTCCAATAACTGATCGTTCTGTCCCAAGCCCTCAACCCACTAAAGCAACAACCACTGCAACTGTTAACTGTTGTAATTGGTTTGGACGCTGTACCAAGTCAATTGTTCCTGCTACAAAATGTCATTCTAAAACTTACACAAAAGGTTGTACTAGAACATATCATTGGTGGACTCCTTGCTGGCCAACTTCTCATACTACAACTACATCTACATCTATTACCACACCTACTACCACCCCAACAACTACACCTTGCACAGGTGAGAGTTGTCTGCCTATAACTAGTATTCCCGGAACAAGCGAGACTTCTGAAACAATTTCAACATCTAGCTCTACAGTTTATTCCCTGACTTCCGAATCATCGGGCTCTACTGTCCCAGGTACTGAATCCTCAGGTTCTACTGTTCCAGGTACTGAATCTTCAGGGTCTACTGTTCCAGGAACTGAATCCTCAGGTTCTACTGTTCCAGGTACTGAATCATCTGGCACAACTGTCCCAGGTACTGAATCTTCAGGTTCTACTGTTCCAGGTACTGAATCATCTGGCACAACTGTCCCAGGTACTGAATCATCTGGCACAACTGTTCCCGGCACTGAATCATCCAGCACTACACCAGAATCATCTATTCCAAGTACTGTGACCATTACTTCTGAAACTACCTTTTCAACACAAACCACCACGTGTAAGCCTACCCATTGTGTGACTATCATCAAGTGTGGTGACAAGCGTTGTTGGACCAGGTCAAGATGTAAGACTACTCAATGTTCTACTACAACAACACCAGGTACTGAATCATCTGGTACAACTATCCCAGGTACTGAATCATCTGGCACAACTGTCCCAGGTACTGAATCATCTGGCACAACTGTCCCAGGTACTGAATCATCTGGCACAACTGTCCCAGGTACTGAATCATCTGGCACAACTGTCCCAGGTACTGAATCATCTGGCACAACTGTCCCAGGTACTGAATCATCTGGCACAACTGTCCCAGGTACTGAATCATCTGGCACAACTGTTCCAGGTACTGAATCATCTGGCACAACTGTTCCAGGTACTGAATCATCAGGGTCTACTGTTCCAGGTACTGAATCATCTGGCACAACTATCCCAGGTACTGAATCATCAGGTTCTACTGTCCCAGGTACTGAATCTTCAGGGTCTACTGTTCCAGGTACTGAATCCTCAGGGTCTACTGTTCCAGGAACTGAATCCTCAGGTTCTACTATCCCAGGTACTGAATCATCAGGTTCTACTGTCCCAGGTACTGAATCTTCAGGGTCTACTGTTCCAGGTACTGAATCATCAGGGTCTACTGTTCCAGGTACTGAATCATCTGGCACAACTGTTCCCGGCACTGAATCATCTGGCACAACTGTCCCAGGTACTGAATCTTCAGGTTCTACTGTTCCAGGTACTGAATCATCTGGCACAACTATCCCAGGTACTGAATCATCTGGCACAACTGTTCCAGGCACTGAATCTTCAGGTTCTACTGTTCCAGGTACTGAATCATCTGGCACAACTGTTCCCGGCACTGAATCATCCAGCACTACACCAGAATCATCTATTCCAAGTACTGTGACCATTACTTCTGAAACTACCTTTTCAACACAAACCACCACGTGTAAGCCTACCCATTGTGTGACTATCATCAAGTGTGGTGACAAGCGTTGTTGGACCAGGTCAAGATGTAAGACTACTCAATGTTCTACTACAACAACACCAGGTACTGAATCATCTGGTACAACTGTCCCAGGTACTGAATCTTCAGGGTCTACTGTTCCAGGTACTGAATCCTCAGGTTCTACTGTTCCAGGTACTGAATCATCTGGCACAACTGTCCCAGGTACTGAATCTTCAGGTTCTACTGTTCCAGGTACTGAATCATCTGGCACAACTATCCCAGGTACTGAATCATCTGGCACAACTGTTCCAGGCACTGAATCATCTGGTACAACTATCCCAGGTACTGAATCATCTGGTACAACTGTCCCAGGTACTGAATCATCTGGCACAACTGTCCCAGGTACTGAATCGTCAGGGTCTACTGTTCCAGGTACTGAATCTTCAGGTTCTACTGTCCCAGGTACTGAATCATCTGGCACAACTGTTCCAGGTACTGAATCATCTGGTACAACTATCCCAGGTACTGAATCATCTGGTACTACTGTCCCAGGTACTGAATCATCTGGTACAACTGTTCCCGGCACTGAATCATCTGGCACAACTTTCCCAGGTACTGAATCATCTGACACAACTGTCCCAGGTACTGAATCATCTGGCACAACTATCCCAGGTACTGAATCATCTGGCACAACTGTTCCCGGCACTGAATCATCTGGCACAACTGTTCCAGGTACTGAATCATCTGGCACAACTGTTCCAGGTACTGAATCTTCAGGGTCTACTGTTCCAGGTACTGAATCATCTGGCACAACTAACCCAGGTACTGAATCATCAGGTTCTACTGTCCCAGGTACTGAATCTTCAGGGTCTACTGTTCCAGGTACTGAATCATCAGGGTCTACTGTTCCAGGAACTGAATCCTCAGGTTCTACTGTTCCAGGTACTGAATCATCAGGTTCTACTGTCCCAGGTACTGAATCATCAGGTTCTACTGTTCCAGGTACTGAATCATCTGGCACAACTGTCCCAGGTACTGAATCATCTGGCACAACTGTCCCAGGTACTGAATCGTCAGGTTCTACTGTTCCAGGTACTGAATCATCAGGTTCTACTGTTCCAGGTACTGAATCATCAGGTTCTACTGTTCCAGGTACTGAATCATCTGGTACAACTGTTCCCGGCACTGAATCATCCAGCACTACACCAGAATCATCTATTCCAAGTACTGTGACCATTACTTCTGAAACTACCTTTTCAACACAAACCACCACGTGTAAGCCTACCCACTGTGTAACTATCATCAAGTGTGGTGACAATTGTTGTTGGACCAAGTCAAGATGTAAGACTACTCAATGTTCTACTACAACAACACCAGGTACTGAATCATCTGGTACAACTATCCCAGGTACTGAATCATCTGGTACAACTGTCCCAGGTACTGAATCTTCAGGGTCTACTGTTCCAGGTACTGAATCTTCAGGGTCTACTGTTCCAGGAACTGAATCCTCAGGTTCTACTGTCCCAGGTACTGAATCATCTGGCACAACTGTTCCAGGTACTGAATCATCTGGTACAACTATCCCAGGTACTGAATCATCTGGTACAACTGTCCCAGGTACTGAATCATCTGGCACAACTGTCCCAGGTACTGAATCGTCAGGGTCTACTGTTCCAGGTACTGAATCTTCAGGTTCTACTGTCCCAGGTACTGAATCATCTGGCACAACTGTTCCAGGTACTGAATCATCTGGTACAACTATCCCAGGTACTGAATCATCTGGTACTACTGTCCCAGGTACTGAATCATCTGGCACAACTGTCCCAGGTACTGAATCGTCAGGGTCTACTGTCCCAGGTACTGAATCATCTGGTACAACTGTTCCAGGTACTGAATCATCTGGCACAACTGTTCCAGGTACTGAATCATCTGGTACAACTGTTCCAGGTACTGAATCATCTGGCACAACTATCCCAGGTACTGAATCATCAGGTTCTACTGTCCCAGGTACTGAATCTTCAGGGTCTACTGTTCCAGGTACTGAATCTTCAGGGTCTACTGTTCCAGGTACTGAATCTTCAGGGTCTACTGTTCCAGGTACTGAATCATCAGG